AAAGTTTTGCAGAAGAAAGTTAGGTGTGCGATAAGAGATTTATCTAATACGTCGTTAAAACTCGAAGTGACTTTTACGAAGAAGTTCAGTCGAAGAGTTTTGTTCTTTCGAACCTTAATTAATTTGTTCTATCGATCTCTTGTTGCGTTGTTTTATGTTCTTTTGGCCCTGAGTGCCTATTCTTCCCTGTCGTTTATTTAAAAAAAAAGAGTACATATTGTATACTATATTCTGGATTTGAGCGTTTTAGTTTCAGATCGTTTCTTAAAGAATTTAAAAATTTTAACCCTTGGCAGGGCGGGCACTCCGAAAGCAAGTTTCAGTTAATGACTATTCGTTGCATTCGTTGGTTTACTATTACGAAAAGAACAGAAAAGCAACTGCTACTTACTTAATCCATTCAGTAATTAATTAAAAAATCATTTATCTACATCAGCCACATACAAAGCTAAGATGCATCAAATGAATTTTTTTTGGGCGAGTTCCCAATGATATTTGTGCATACATAATGGCGTAGATAAAAAAGAATTTTGTCGTGCCTTGCGCCACACTCATTTTTTGGGCATTGAAAGGATGCGTCTGGGTGTTTTCCCAACAAGATTTATGTAGATATACCTTAAATTGTTATTATATTATTATTAATTGCGAAGTTATGACCTAAAAATTCATTCAGAGTGGAAACTATTTTTATCAAAAATTCCTCAAATTCTCAAGTTTAAGGTATCAGTGTCAGGCATGGTGTGGAACGATTAACACAAGCTAAACCCGTGTTACAATTTTCAGCCGGGATACGATGGGGTAATAAAACGGTTCACCAGCTCATAAACGGGAGTAAATTATGGTTAATTGAAACATACCCATAGTAAGCCTTAAATACTGCATAATTAATTATGTAATTTTTGTTTAAATATTTGATTTTTTATATTGTTTATGTAATTGTAAAGAAATTGCGTGTTGAAAGGCTAGTTTTAAACACCTGTAATCATTGGCGTAGTATTTGTAAAAGTTTATCTCATGTTTTCCTCCCGTCGTTTGCAATAAGAGTTTGTATCGCCGAGTAAGCGAATTAGTTTCCAGATAAGCATGTGTTATCGCCGAAGTTAGCAGATGTTCATTTCTTTCGATATTTTGTTAAGTAATGAGGAACGGAAGTGAGAAAGGGAAATTGTTTTAAGCAGAAGAGGAAGACGTTAGTCGTAGCTTTTGTTTGGCGGGCGCTTTTTGTTGGAAAACAGTCAGTTTTGCCGGTATCAAAGTTTTTAACATTGGAAATGTTTATAGTTTCGTATCGGTATATGGCTATAAAGTTACGAGTTTCGTTCAAGCGGAAAAGATAACGGTGTCGCATCAAGTTACGATTGTACCGTACTCGAACGTAATCGTTCAGTGAAGGAAAAGTCGCGGTTACTGTTGATAGGGGTCTTACTTAATAGCGCTCAATTGTTTTGCTAATTCCAATCTAAAATTCTCGCACATCTTCTTTGATAGTATTACTAGCATGTTATGACGCTTATTACTCAAAAGGGTGGCGGGGGAGAGTTATTTGTGTTTTACATATGACTGTATACAGTTATCATTTACAATGTCTCCGATGGTAGCATGGATTACGAAATCCAGTTTCCCAATACTCGTTAAATGGAGTAGTGTCCACCATCAAAGAGCCAATACTATAATTGTAATTACAACGAAGTCAGTCTCGTCTAAGTCGAGTTTTGAGTAAAGTCAGAGAAGTGAAGTTTAGGAACATCATCAGTTCATCATTTTCTCTAAGCTACGTCACTGTGTCCCGCACAACAGGGGATAATTCCCTGAAGGTGACACGTGTGTTTGCAACATTAAATGCATGGTCCAGCAGCCACCGCCTGTTTTTTTTCAGTGATTAATAACATTCTGAATCTTCGTGAGTAGGTTGCGTCCGGTAACTTTGATCAAGACGAATTTGGGATAACCATCCGTAACAATATCATCAACCCCTCTTGTTTAATTATAAGGTTAAAGAAAGTATAATAAGCAACAATAATTACTACATTGGGATAATAAAAATGTAACGAAATCATCATTTCGGTTTGCAATAGATAAGCTATAGTTATTTATTATACAAGACGAGACGAGTGAAAGATGGTTAGTTTCCCTTTATCGTCGCGTATAATACAAATCGTTATTTTATAGCAGAAGTCATATAAATTATTGTAAAGCTTCTGACAATTCTGACTTTAATTTAGAGACGTCAAAAATAGCAACCTTAGGTTCTGCCGTCGCGATCGTTTCTATAGAAACAGAATTGTCATATGTTCTAAACGTGATTTTATAACGTGCATTTGAAATAAGAATGGCAGATGTCATTAGAATGCACCGTGCTGTTTTACTTTATCTACCCTTACGGTTAAAGTGATCACTTTATCTATCCTTACGGTTAAAGAACGGCTTAGCCTACTCATTCAAACTTATTAAAATGTCATTTTAACATATGCTATAAAGTAAATTTAATTATTCTCCAGACTAAATCCAGGAAATTATTAAAGTTCTTTAATATGCAAATAAATACTGTCTAACTCTAATATTTATTTAAATAGGTTTCGTTTATGCTGGGACTTTTTTTTAAAATTAAGTCTGCACGCTAACCCTAAATGAAAATATTTTCTGACTAATAATAAAAATCGCATCCCTTATTTGATTTACATTTGCTAAATACTCAATTTGATGGAACAAGAATTATCCGTTTTGACGAGAAAATTTCCTTTGTTTCTAACTAAAGCTTAATAAAACATTGAAAATAGCAGTGTCTTCGTCTTATTTCTGCAAAAAAAGGTGGAATTATTTATCTTTCCTTTGTAACAAATTACTACTATCGTACACTCTCCAGGCGTGTACAAAACATGGAAACAATCAATAACCGTGAACAAAGAGGATAATTGGAGATATCGTTTACGTTTTTCTTTTAAAATACAACTTTATATTATAGTTAGCACATAAATAACTCGTTATACAACTACTAGATGGATGTGAAAGGCTCGCGAATAAATTTATTCATGCGATCTTGTATATCGGTTGTCATTTTTGGGTAGTTCAAAGGAACTAAGATTAAAGAAAAAGTGTCTCTGTCGATTCCATAAAAAATTCGAAGGCTGGACAGCACGACGTCAGAAGTGAGCGGACGTGTAAAATTGCTGATGACCTGGCAAATTAGGTTTATCTCATTTTCCAATTTTCGGAAATATAAGCTATACCGTTGGGTTTATTAAACCAGCATCCAGTGTCGACAATAATCGTTGGGGGACAATGGTGCGACTTGTACGTTGTAATGCAATGCTGCACTCGTTGATTTTACAGATTAACGCTGCACTGGAATAAGATGAAATCAACAGAAGCCATTGGCGACAGGGTTTCCTGAAAGAGGACGAGTATGCGACATCGTGCCAAGCTCCAGGCGATACAGCCACAGGTCTCTGCGTGACAATTTCAGTCCCGTGACAGATACCGCCCATCTGCAGACGATATCTATTAGAATTATTACACGAGAACTTACAACGTTATATGTATAATCGTCATATGATCTACTTAGCGCCCTTTTAAGTTGTCTAACCTGAACACCAATAGCAACTAATTATCCATTTATAAGTAACTCCCTTGAATGAATCGATGTACTAATAAATAATACCAACTCCTTCCGTTTTTATGTTTTACAATTCAAACATGCAAACCCAGAATTTTATGCAAACCGATAATTAGTGATTGTAATTCTCCGCACCCATCATTCAATTGACTTTTACCAGAATGTAAATAAGGAATTAGTGGACCAGATCCTTTTATGCCCTGTCACAATAACGAAAGCTCGTTAGGGTTGATAAAAGGAATGGGGTAATCAATCACAAATGCTAGGAGACTTTTAACGCAACTTTGAAATCAAGAAAGATTGACATTGATCACGCTCGTCCACTATATGTACAATTGTATAATGGGGTTTTTAAATTAAACCCTCTTGCATTCCTAATTTTTAAATTGCCAAATTCGAACCGCCGTCGAAGGGGTTGCACAAAATTATTGACACGCTACTAAAAGCGCATTATTAATTCATGTGTACCTTTCTGGTTTAGGTATCTACAATTCTATACCTTGTTAAAAATAAACATCGATTTCACCCCTCTCTGAAACTGGGAGGTTGGTGTGCACTTTTGCAATTAAAACGAAAAAGTCTGCAGAGTTTAAGACGGTTAGCTGTAGCTCAATCCGAAAAAAAGGTGAAGAGGTAAGGTAACTATGGTTAATTAAGTTCACGTCAATATTAATAAACTTGCTTTGAAAGCAAGTTACAGCGTACATGAATTGAATATGTCCTCTCAGGTTTTTGTTAGTAGGTACGTATGAATATTCAATTCCTCATTTGCATGTGAAGGGCTTCTGATGTTATGTTCTTATAGGACGAACAAAAGAATCTGCACTTGAGAAAAACTCGCGATCAATGTAACCGTGAACATTGTTCCATACTTTAATACATCAAGTTGTAACTTCGGGGACTCTGCGAAGAATTGTTTGTTTTCCGTTAAAGTAAATTGAAAAAGGTTTAATTTAATTAGCTGCGTGTATTATGTTTTAAAAATCACAAGGGAAAAAATCCCAAATTTTGTACAAAGCGGCAATAAAAGAGACGAAAGTAATAAAACGCGATTAATGATTTTTTCCTGATGTAATAATAAAGAAACTTACATAACTGCGAATGAATCCAGAGAAAATAATATTGTTCGGAGAGCATTTCAGAGCTATGCTCACACAACTTGTAATATGAATAAAGGATGATTACATTCCAAGAGTATTACACTCTCAGCAAGGGGCTCCAATCATGGGGTGGAGACGAGAGGACAAATCATTCTGTTCTAACGCCTATATCCGCGGAATTACTAAAATTAAACCGTTTCAAATCTCGAAGGGCGCATTAATCTTGAAATAGACGGCATATAACCGAAAAATTACAACAATAATAGAATTAAAAAAAAATCACTTACGACAGTCCAATTCATCGGTGCGATCGTCGCAGTCGTCGTATCCGTCGCAACGCTTGTTGATTGGTATGCATCTACTGATGTCGCAGCTTAATTCTCCTTCAGCGCAAGCTAAATAAAAACAATAGCAAGTTAATAAATTCCCAAAGCACAATTCCACCCGAAACTAAGATTAAAACGCGCCGATTTTCGATGGTGGATGCTGTTATAATATACTGCATAAAGCTGTAGCAGTTACTATGTACAATTAGAAAAGTGTCGCTCTAATTTGCTTGTAAAAAAAACTCATGCATTTGGTCGAGGTGTCCCTTGAGTTCATCGCCACACCAAGCGGTTAGTTAATGTGAATTAGTTGGTTTTTTTACCAATTGGACAATTGTTTTCGTCGTCTCCTGAAGGACAATCTTGTACGCCATCGCACAACTGATCGGCACATATGACGGAACCGTCTACACAACGTACAACGTCATCGGCTCGACATCTTCCTCTATGCGTCGGGTACGTTTGGTGGAAAATTGTTGGCGTCGTCTCTTCTGCTCCATGCTCGACGTCCAGAGGGCTTGTTGAATTGTACAGTGTATTAAATACAGACACCAGTATACTTTCAGTAGTTGTTTCAACTGGGTGTGGCGGTGTGTGCTGCTCTGGTCGAATTGTCGTTTCTTCTGGTCCAGCTTCGGTTAGTACACCATAGTACGGAGTGTATGGCGAGTGTGTTACTGGTTCGTAGGGGTTTTGAGTACGTGGTAACTCTGATGGTACCGCCGGGGATGGAGTGTATGGGCGTCGAGTTGTTTCGGGCGGCTCAGTTGGACGAAGATCCACTTCATTTATGTTATACTCTATACGTAACGAAATGATACACAATAAGTTAGACAATAAACGTTTAGTACATAAATGCAACAAAAAATACCAAAGTGCAAACATTATCGGTTGCATTAAGTGTTAAACGTAGATACCCATTTAATTGCCATTCCTAAACCCCAATCAGAATCCTGAATTAAGATAGATCACGGTATAACAAATCAAATGAAAATGTCTTTTTGGTTTTCTGAAAAGACCCATTTTTCAAATTATCAAATGATTGTACGAAATTCTGTCTCGGGAAATTGGCCTCTCGAAAAAACTCGCTCCAGGAACCTTCGAACAGTCTTCGTTCGGAATATATTCACTAACTAAGGGAATAATCGCCCCTTTCTCGAAATTCGTTGTATACCCCGTCTAGGGCCGCTGAACGAACAAATACAATTTATTATGGGTTTTGAGACTCAAATGCGGCCCCAATGAATATGATCAGAAATATTCCAAACCGCGTCGGTAATTTGGAGGGGGAATTAATCTGAACGTAAAAGCCTCGAAAACCTCGAAAATTTAGCGTCTAGTTGTTAAGTGAGACGCGTCGATGGTTTAATGTCCATCGATTTAATGGATCAATTACGATGAAATTTTCTCTATCAAATTTGGAGATCGGAGTTTGTGAATTGGCAATATAGGTCAAAAAAATAAGGAAGGCCCTTTTGAAACATCTCCATTAGTTATGAACCAAATTGCATGAAATTCAAACTGGGCAACTACCATATCAAATGGAGTGGCATCGCTTTGGCACTTTTGATTATGTCTCGTCAGGGTTTAACTCGTGAATGTTCTAGTGTTATTATTCAAAAACAAGTCCCGCCAGTGTGCGGGCCTCCGCTACCAACTGGACGTCAACCAAGTTGCCACGGGTGGCATCTATTGAACCTAATGTGACCTTAATAACAATAAATGAGGTCTGTAATGAGAGAGGTCGGCTTCCAGACTTCTAAATTGAATCCTACCACTTTCAATGATTAAAGGTGCTTTTTATTGGCATCATAAAAGAGACCACGTTCATAACGTATTTAACAAAAATTTGTAATTTATGTGATTAATTCATTTAGTAATTACATAATAAAGAAAGTGTTTTTCACATATCTACTCGTACCTTAACAAGCAAAGGTTAATAAATAGATTTAATGCTTTTCCGTATACAAATTACAATTATGCATTTCTTATCAAAAAAATCCATTTTGCAAACTTATAACTTATATTATACCAAAAGTGAGGGTAAGTGAAAATTCCCTTACCAAATCACGAGAATAAATAGGAAAACATTTCTTTGTGATTAATTATAAAAATGTATTAATCACATAAAATCCTTTTAATAAATTATAAGCGTGTTATCGAAATGTGCGTTTGAAAGCTTTCCAATGACCCACAAAAAGAAGGTTGCAATTTAAAATTTTCGTGGTGAGTGTGGCAAGCAGTTGTACGTAACAATTATTATATATAAATAACTTCTGTACATGTATTTTTAACTAAACTCCTAAACGGCTGGACAGATTTTGATTGAATTTCGTTTATGTGTCTCCGGATGGTTTAGATTCACAATTGGGCCCAATGGGATTTAAAAAAATCTTTTTTCGTTGATGTCGCACTCTGCTACTTCGCGTACCGATCGATACATGCGCCAAGTCACTTGAGTCGTACTATGCCCATGTATTTACATTTTTATATTCTATACGCTGGATTTCACTTATATACCGGTCAATGATCGAATGTACGAAGTCGCGGTGGAAAATCTAGTATACTAATATATTCCCATTGCAAGACGGAAGAACAGGCCAACAAACAAAAACAGCTATAAATTCTTAGCTGATGAGTTGACCCGTGACCGAAGAAAATGAATCAGTAGGTTCGTCCGGTTTAGTGATTGAGTTCTTTGTTGAGTGAAATTTTCAATTGAGCCACATTGAAGAGGTAATTAGTAGGGCTAGGATTTTAATGACGTTAAAAATCAACGAAAATGCAAAATAAAAAATGAATTATGATTTAAAAATCTCGCAAAAATGACATAAAAATTTAGAAAGATGACATTTTAAATAACAAATAAATTTATTGATGAAACCTTTGAATATAAAATATAGGTTATATTCAAAGATGAAACTGAATAAGCCCGCAAAATTATATTAAGAAGCAATTAGGTACGATAAGACAGGAATTTCATTGATGGTTCATTTCCACCCTCTGCAGGCCATTCGTAGAAACTAGGTATGTAAGATACTGACTCACTTACCCTATCCCAAAGAAATTTAATTCCTTAGTGGGCATTCGTTTGTGGATGACTTAAGCACGTTCGAACTGTTCCAAGAAAACGTTAACTATGTAAAAATACCCGGAACTACCGAGAAAAGAAAAATATTGCATTGTGTTTTAGAAATCTAAGACTGTATGAAAAATAAAACGTTAACAAAGGTTTATAAGTTCGCCAAGAGAAATACTGTAAAATATCAAACAAATTAGCGCTATTTCTGAAAAATGCAAAAAATTCAAAGTAAAACACAAAAACTCTAAAAAATGCTAAAAATTAGCAAAAAATGACCCATTGCTCAAAAATGGCAAAGAATGCAAAAAAATGCACCAACAAGTTGCTGTCATTTGATTCAATTTGTCCTGAAATACGTCTATATATAACAGAGCAATGTCTCAGTAATAGTCGAGGTAATAGTCTATTTTTGGTTTTTGATGCAGCGGTAAAACAATCGTGAGTGAATTTCACTCTCAATTAATTGTACAATGGGCACCACAAAGGAGGCGCATTCAGATATTCCGCTTCAACCCCGAAACGGCACAAGAAGGCATAACATAAAATTGAACTATGGAGCGTTACACGGTCGAGTGTTACGTTACGAAAATAGGCGTAAAAAACGTTTTGTATCTTACGTGATTATTTCGGTCAACACAACCCATCTGCCGAGACCACAATGGGCAGAATTTCCAAAAATTCGTTACGACAGTGTCTGTGGTGGATATAACATCCAAAACTTCTTGATTTGGAGGTTATTTGAAACCTCAAGTGTATGATCACCACCGTGGAAGAGCATTTATGCGCCCCTGTCATCGAAAATGTAAACAAATGGAACAAGATTTGCCTCCGAGGCCCTTAACCACGATGAAGTGATAGGGGTGGAAAATATTTTTCTAGGTAAAAAAAAACAAGACCGCCAGATTGTTATCCCAAATAATTTAAATTAAAATTATTAAAATGGTAGCGAACATTCCAGAATTTCTGATAGACATCGAGATGCCATGAAAGATTAGTCATCGGCGATAAAGAACAAAGGCGGATGTGAACAAATATTATGTGTTTGCTACAGAACGTTTTAGAATAGTCGGGTGCCTTCGGAAGCTTTTGAGATCTTTCGAGAAAGCGGGGGCATTTGGGAGCAGTTCTGTTCTAATTTCAACGCCGAAGTAATAAATAGTTCGCGCTGCATAAATTTATTGTTAATTACGTGTGAATAAATAAACGATGTCGGCCAGCAATAAACAACAAATACGATTAAAAATGAGATACAGTGTCCAAGATAAAATTCATACAGTAGAAAATGAAATGAAAGCTGATATTGATGAACTACGAAAACGACTTATGTTATTGACTGAAGAACGAGTAATTAAATTTACGTTACACAAAATATTTTTGTTTCCTTGTTTGGCGTAGATGTCTAGATGGGGCAACTACGTTCTAGGTGGGGCCACTTGGCTACGGACCTGGATTGAAATTTTTGTTCGCCTAAATGCATAGAGAGTAAGTGAAAAGACCAAGAACAAACGATTATCTCCGTTATTTATGAAGCATTTTTTTTTAATAATTGGTTTTGTATAACACATATACATAATATTTCATTTTTCTTCTTTTTCCTTTTATTTTAAAAGTGATACAACAATTAAAATAAAAAATATGACAAAGGGCATCATCTTTGAAGAATCTAATAATTTTAATTAGGTATCTATACAGTCAATGTTCGAAATGCCTTAGTATTTTGTTATATAAGGACACCAATTGTTTAAAAAAATGCTTCATAAATAACGCAGATAATCGACCGCTCTGGGACTCTTTACTTACCCTGTATTTTGTGCAGAAATTGGGACCAAAAATAAACATCCGCAGCTGGTTATCCAACTTAAATGCGTTTTCAGAATTAAATGTTTAAAAAATAACTTTGGATTGGTCATTATCCTGATACAAATATTATGAGATTTTGATTAGTTTTGTACATTTGTCACGAAATCACGGAAGCCATCAAATATTTTTTTGAAATGACTTATTTTCAAAATTTTGGTGTATATATATCGAGCAATCATTAACTCAAGGTCTTCACTCCTTAGGCAACACAACATACACCTAAGCAATGACGCCTACAAAGACTAGTAGACGCGGCCTGCAGAACCGCATTATTCCCCTAATAATTTCAAACCCTTCAAAGATAAGTGTCTCCCTCTCTGAAGCGACAGGTCACTTCAATTATTGATTATATTTGCACTTTGGTATGAAACGCACGACTACGAAATTTGTACAAGTCACGACATCTATACAGTACACCACTGAACACTTATCATCAATACAATATATCCCTTCTCCACAATTCCAACGCTATGTACAATAAACAAGCAAAAGCAATTTAGTTGTTACTGTTTACATTAAGCTCAAGCATTAAACTATGATTACTAACTATCTGTACATACTTTTATGTTTTACAAACGCCAATACATGCACTTACAAACTAAAATACCTCTCTAAATGTACTTTTAGGTAGACAACACATCGTACAACTCGAATGTCACTATTTAGTAATGATCTTTGGGTTGTATATATTCAGGCGCATTCTTTTGAATTGGGACGAAATAAATAATTACTACTAAAGATGATGGACAATATTTTCGTACTGAAAAGTTGTGATCCTATTTGATGCATTACAGACTTTCATTACAAGGAACAATGCAAACACTGTCCTAGTTAGTGTATTGCAGATGTTCTCGGTAATAATATATTATTTATAAGCGCAGAATTACACAAGAAGGAAGTTTTAGATGTAGGAGAGAGGGTTAATTATAGTATAGCTACCATTCCACCATCTAATTCTTCTTAAATTGTAAATCTTTGCCAAAACTACATCTGATAGGATTGACGAGAAATTTATGCGTTGTAATGAATTTGTATGACATGTTGTCGTCAGTGAAGTATAAAAAGTTAAAATCAGTATTCAGTTAATGACTTTATGATATAAAAAAATTAAACTATCACTAATGGTCATGCTAAATGTAACTTTTGATTATAATTTATAAATTTACAAAGCAAAACCAGAACAACACAGTTCTTTTTAAATGTAATAAACGAAATGGTAATCGTTCAACCTTCAAATCGTCTTGATATTTGGTAACTGCTTCAACTATTATACAGTGTCCCGCACAGCTTTGAAGTTGACAGACTTTCTTCAAGCAAAATTCGCAAACCCAGGCTTGGTTATACTAATTATTAAGTTAATTTTAATATGGCAGAAGTCGATCAACTAAAAATTTTTTCAATGTTTTCTCTACTGTAGTTGTTCTTTTGTCAAGCAAAATGAAATTAATATGTGGAAATCGATTAGTTAATGTTGAAATTAGTAGCGATTGATTAATATCAGAAAAACTCCCTATGTCTCATTATTAAGCTTTATATTGTACTATACAGCAAGTGTTTCGCATGGTGTCGCTACAACCATCACCGATCCACTACATCATAAATCTCCAAATCATAAACTAAGAATAAGAGATAAAATAAAAAAAAATAAATACGACGTACCACAACCAGCCTCATCAGAATGATCTCGACAATCATAAATACTATTGCAACGAGCTGATACTGGTACACATTCACCACTATGGCATGGTAACTCGTCAGGTTCACATTTTGGTAATCCCTGAGAACCTAATATAAGGTAACACAAGTAAATAAAACAAACATAAACGAAACGATATAATTAAATCTTAAAATTTCCCCGAGCATTGTGTGCAATATACCTTCAAACTCTCTAAATGAAAATTCGTCAGTGGTGACTTTGTACGGTCCCAGCGTGTGGTAGTTCTTAATGTGGTTGTACAGGTGACTCCTTATTCTGCCATGGTCGTAAAATCCTACCGTTCCCAAATCCATGGTGACTTTGCTGGAGAAGACATCGGCCTCTCGTTTTCTGAAAGAAGGGGTTTATTACCTAGCATCGATTTTGGTTGATTGCGTACTGAATGCGAATCACTGTAGCCGACTGTTTCCCTTGGAGACTGTCATACAGATCATTGACAGCGTTTACCAACTTTTCCGCAATTTCCCTGTACTGCGGAGTATTGCGGTCGGCAAAAGCGGCAATGAACGGTTCAAGTACGGCCATTGTAACTCTGTAGTAGACTAAAACCAAAGAGGTAAATTAAAATGGGACTCTCATGAGGTTGGTTTTTGGCGCACCAGGTTGGCCAGGAATGATTGGGCGATCAGTCTCGACCCCTCCAGAACCGGAAACGTCATCGAGATCATCTTCATCGTCGGATCTTAAAAAAAACAGTTAGCATGTATAGAAAAACTTGTAATATACTTACTCTCCATGATGGTCGGATTCGGGATGGATGTCGTCAATGTCATTCTCATTGCTGTCGACGTCATTAAAAGACTGCAAAAAGGACAATAAGAAATACGTTATTTCGATATCACTCCCTTACATCGACGTGGGCCTGTCCTTGTTCTGTCGTCGTTGTTGGATCCTCATTGTTGGAACTTCCAAACCAGTTAAAAGATGGCCATTGTCGTTTAATGCGATTCACAGTTTTCGTGAGCCAGTGGTCCTCTTCAACGTGTTGACTAGATTTCGAACTTAAATTATTTTGGTTACTTCTTTTTTCTAATATATGCCTATTGCGTTGACTAACTAATTTGGAATCTTCTACATTATCAAATACTAAATCACCGTCATTCTGAAAAAAAAAGAAAACAATGTTAGAGTGTAGGAATTGCAAGTAACATAAGGAATTGCATAAAATACGTAAGTAAGTTCTTTGTTTCAAGATATTCAGAACTCTTTGCGCACATCTAATTCTTACAATATGGGATATGTTCTTCTTTAGTAGAAGCATCTATATTCTATGGTTAGGTTATAATTTCAAAGGAATGCCTCCATAAATAAGAAAGTTGGCATTGCGCAATCTGCACAGGCGCACATCTGACTTTTACAATATGCCTTTAAAGTAAAGTAAAAACGAAACAGAGCCTATTTTGGGGACATTTACGAAGAAATCCTCGGACCCGTCAATTTTTGATTTAAGGGGGAATCATTTTTTTTGCTAGTTTTGCCTCACTGAGGGTAAAGTCATAGCGGGGGTTACAATCGCCCCCTAAAATTTAAATCGAATGAGGGGGTCGAGTGATACCTTATTTTGAAGGTATTTTTATGTGCATTATAACCCTTAAGTTTTAAATCAATTTTATTTATATTGTATATCTGTATATATTGTTGAATATGTTGGCCTTCGACTTTCATACAATACAATAATACAGGTTTTGTTCGAACCTTTCCCGTACATATTGTAAAACTTCTGGGGTAATTTGACGACATTCATCAATTATTCTTTTGTTGGTTTGTTTGTTGTAGTTGAATTTGTTTTCTCAGTGTCGTTTGCGATAAGGAGTTCTTATCTAACGAAATTGTGTTCTTATCGCGGTTAGAAAATGCAGGTGTTTTACGATGTGCGCGTTATTTCGGCCTAAGGTGGGACGCGTTTCTTCGAGGCTGACGTTATCAAGTCGAACTGTGATTGGTAGTGTTTTTGAAAATTTTTGAGAAAGAAGATTATGGTGCAGTGGAAGTGGTGGTTCTTTAAATACTGGAATCAAAGTAAAACGCGTCTGCTGCTAGCAGCCGTAAAGAGCGTCTACATATTTTTACTGTCCGAGCAGCAACCGAGGATTTCTCATCTTATTTATCCAGATTCAGTTTAATAAAAAAAGTGAAGGCTCCTGAAGCTGTCAGCGAGTGATTTTGTGTCTTTGATAAGTGCGATTGAATATCGCAAACCTTTTTACGACCAGATTATTTGGATTATAAGAAAAAGTGTTTCAAAACACATGTGGGGTATTATGTGCAAATTTCTTTCATTCAGGGATTTTGTTCTAATTGTTTCATGTATTTCAGAATAAATTTTTGTCATTGTTAATCAATTAATTGTGTGTTTATTCGAATCCATTGTACGACCCAGAAAGAGTTGTCATGTAATTCGAGCGCCACAATTTTCCAAAGGAGAAAATCAACCGTCAATGGGAGAATATTTCAACTCATCGGTAAATGTAAGTTAATTGAATATTTTACATTGTATCAAAATAGGAATCGACTGTTTTTGAGGATTTTGTAAAAGGAATTTACACCTAAAGTCATTCTAACATTACTGAAAAGTTCGATTTTGGCCAATTTGTGTATTTTTTATGAACCATAAGTGAACCCAAACCAAAGATTTTGTATTAACTATTTTATTACAAAAATTAATTGTTACAGTAAAATTTTTACCAGTGCTGTAGAGAATAAATTTATTTTTTACAAGAGGGACCCTTGTAAATGTAACTAATCCGTTACACTGTATACCTTTAAACAAAATTGGTGGGAAAGGGAATTACAACACGTATATTTTCCAAATAAACCTAGGGGGAAACAACTTTGAATTTATGGTGTACACCCCTCTGAATTAATTTGAATTAACGTGAATTAATTTGAATTAACGTGCATTCATTTGAATTAACGTGAATTAATTTGAATTAACGTGAATTAATTTGAATTAACGTGAATTAATTTTAATTAGCATGAATTAACATGAATTAATGTGAATTAATTTGAATTTGAATGTTTGATGTACCCCAAAAATGGTACCTACTTGTTCCCCTTAAGAAAAACTCGTTTCTAAAAAATCATCGATTGCTGAAAAAATTGCCCTTGTAAATCCTCAGACAGTTTGCTTCAGAAAATTTGGTTGCCCTTCAAAAATCGCCCTTGGAATACTTCATCCCTAAAGACTTGTTCCAGGAAAAGTTTCTCACTGGAGATATTCGCTATAGAAAAATTCCCATCCTGAAAATATAGCCTCGAAAAATCACTATTGTGTTTTAATCTTCAAAGACTTGTTCCCGAAAAATTCCTGCTGAGAAAATTATCTATGAAAAAATTCGCTTCCGGAAAATGTAGGCTTGAAAAAGTCGCCCCGGGGATATGCGCACGAAAAAATTCTTTTCTGGAATAATTGTATAACAAAATGTTATTCTGGAAAATTCCCTATCGAAAAATTCTTGTCCTGACAATTTAAACACGAAAAAATCGTTCTTGGAAAACTTTTCCCTGGAATACTTGCGTGAAAAATTTACCCCCAGAAAATGTTGTCTCGAAAAAAATCTCCGTTGTAATATTTGACCCAGAAACACTGTCCTGAAAAAATTTGACCTGGAAAATTCGTTTGTCGAAAATACGCCGATTACTGTAAAAAAAATCTCCTGAAAATTCGCTAGGAAAAATCGCTCTCATAAAAAAAGGCTCGCAAAAATCTACTATCGCTAGAATACTTGCGTGAATAATTCGTTTCTAGAAAATTTGATGCGCTCTGAAAATTACCCCTAGAATATTTGACCCCTAAAGACTTGTCCTCCGAGAAAAATATACAAGGCAAATTCGCTATGAAAAAGGCCCCTTTTTAAAATGCTTCCCTGTAAGATTCAACCCTTAAATTCTTACAGGGAATATTCACCTCTACGAATTTTCCTCTCGTAATATTTGCGTGAAAATTTCACCCCCAACAATTTTCGGGAAGGTTCTTCCTGGAAAACTTCTTTCCTAAAAAATTCGCCTACCGAATGAATAAAAGTCGTTATTGGAATATTTGACTCCCAAAATCTCCAAGGAAAATTGTTCTGGGAAAATTCGCTATGGAAACATTCGCTTCCGAAAAATTTACCTACGGAAAATGTAGGCTTCAAAATTTGCTCTTGAAACATTCGTCCAGCAAAGGAAATTCATCTACAGAAAATGTTAAAAAAATCATCTTTCGAATATTCGATCCCCAAAAAATCGTTCAGGGAAAATCTGTCTTGGAAATTTGCATTGGAAGTTTATGCCCTGAAATACTCGCGTAAAATACTCGCCCCGGAATCTTGCGTGGAAAACTTGTCTCCAGAAACGTAAAAAAATCGCCCTTGAAATGGAAAAGTTCTCGCCCCGAAAATTTAAGATTAATAAAATCGCTCTTGGAAAATTTTTCCCTGGTATACTTGTAAAAAAAATTTGTTCCCAGAAAAAATCCGCCGTTGGAATATTTTACTCGCAAACTCCTAGTCCTGGTAAAACTTTGCCTTGGAAAAATTCTAGATGGAAACAACTTCGAATGTTTGGTGTGTTGTACACCCTCTGAATTAATTAGAATTAACGACAATTAATGAGAATTAACGTGATTCAATTTGAATTACCGTATATTAATTTGAATTAACATGAATTAAATTGAAACAACGTGAATAAATTTGAATTAACGTAAATAATTAGGTTGAATTAACGTGAATTAACATGAATTAAGGTACGAAAAGGTGTAGGGAATGAACTGAACTTGAAACAAGTTGTAAATCAGCATATGCATGATTAAAGCGCATTTTTGGTAATTATCGATCTCACGAGTAATTTTGGCTGCGTTAAATAATTAATATTATTTAATTACAATTGAGAGTACGTCTTTATTTTGTAAAACACATGACAAAGTAACTAATTAATTGTACCAGTATTGGTAGCGCTATCTAACGGTAAAATTATAGCACCTCCGAGAACTATATCGAAATTATTTTCTTAAATTATAGATCTCACAAGTAATCTCAAAATAGGCTAGAGCCTGCACATCTACGCTATAGCAGAAAGCTTTTAGTGAACATTTAAAGTCTCTAGCTATTGTAGTTGCTGAGATCTCAGCCGGACAGCCGGCCGGCCAGCCATAACGAATATAATAGCGTATTTTTTTCAAAAATGCGCCAAAGACTATATAAGATCAGAAATGTTTTATTTGGTATATAGTCAAAATAGCATTAAGCTACAAAAGGAATTCTAATTTTACAACCTCAGTGACAGATGTGAAGATAATGAAAGTACAAAAATTGTATGGTAGGCAAAAAATAGCACAAAATAGGCACCAAGGTGAGGATACCAAAGGATTTTCAATTTTCAATATCGAATTTGAAGTCAAACACTTTTTATAACACTCACATTTTAAATCTTTGCTAAGATACATTTAAACTCGTTTGTTAAATTGTTTTTTCACTACTAGCGTCTGATGACATGATTATTAACCTTTTTTCCACTTGTAAAGTAGGTTTTCTCGGCATTTGTTCAAAGTGGTTAATAATTTTTTATTATTAACTAGTAGTCAATAATGAGAACTGTCACGCTGTCACTTTTAGAAAACACAACCCGAAACTTCGCTCAATAAACGTTTGGACAAGTTCTCTAAAACGAATAATTGCCACCATTCGCAATTTCCAGAGAAATTACATACCTAAAATTATCACATTTTGAAAAAATTCGAACGAAATTACTCTTTGAAAAATCTCAATGACAGAACAAAATACGGCCTGTTTGACTTGTACTTCCACGTACTTGATCGACATGTTAAATTAATAAACAAAAAATTCTGTCCAACCGTTCACTTTCTTATCAATATAATATGTTAATTTAGAGGATTTCAAGTGCTAGTAGTGAAAAAAATAGTATATACCACGGTAGAGAAGTCTATTATTGCCTTCGCACCTTACACCCCTCGGCGCAAGCGCCTCGAGATGTAATCTTGGTGCTCAGGCAATAATAGTGGACTTCTCTACCTTGATATATAATGTACTATTATAAAATTCATTGTTTCTTATAAAGTATGTCGTCAATGGTTACGTCCTTTATACACTACTTAAAGTACGC